GCACTCCCCGCAGAACACATCTGGTCTCTTCAGGCCAACTCCAGCCACCACAATGCTACTGCAGCCAGAGGTGCGGGCTGGGTCCGGCTGGGTCACTTGGCAAACCCCTTTGCCGTGGGGCTTACTCCTCACCATTCAGGCTTTTCTTTGATGATTACTTCATCTGCCATCTTTTTTCTGGATTCTTAAATTTGGGTGGCATTCCTGGTAGGTAAAAGTGGAGGTGTGAGAAGATGGCCAGATCCTTTGGGAATAGTTCATGAGAAAGATCATGATAACGAAGAATCAGCTATTCCCTGCTCCAAGTGTGGGCTCCTGTCACCCACCAAGTCCTTCTAAACCCCCAGGTCTCAGGATCCCATAGCGCTTCTAAGTGCCACATGCACGCTCGGGTCCCCCCAACCCACTTCCATGTTCCTGAGAGATGTGTGAACACAAGCACACAAAACAAGGACCTATGTTGCCTCCTAAGGCATTCAGGGGCAAGGTTCCCAGATGCAGGAAGCCCCCTAATCTAAAGCAAATGTTCTGGAGCCCTGGAGGGCAGCATGCCGGGGTGTGGGCCAGAGCCTCGGCCCTGACATGTGCTGCGTGTTAGTAAATGCTTCTAATTCCTTCTAGACAAAAGCTTTGATTGATAAGCTCCAAAAGCTTGTGTCATCAGAAGGCAGATTTAAGAATCTCAGAGAAGCTCTGAAAAAGTAAGTGTGTGTCATTTTGTCACTGTTATTTTTTAAACTGTAGACCCGTACTGGGGAGGCGTTCACATGCCACACCCAGCCAGAGCAGGAGGTCTGTCTGTCTGTCTGTCCCTCTGTCTACCCTCAAGACCCCTAGACTGCCTGGACCCCAGGGGAGGGTCAGCTTTGTCCTCCATTGTCTGCCAAAGAAATTCCAGGGTGTGGTGGCATGGCCCGGGAGAAGCACGGGAAGAACGTTGGAATCCCCGGAAGCATAGTAGCTGGGATGGTGATGATGGTGGTGCCAGATTCCTTGTTTCTAACATACACTTTTTTTTTTTTTAACATTTTAATCATTCTGACATCAGGATATCTTAAGGTCAATGTGTTTATTTACTGTGATCATGTTTTCTTATTCTCTTGAGAATTAGTCTTCAAAACAAGAGTGCGTTTTATAGACAATGGCATCCTGGAATCAAAGAAATAGTCTCCCCACAGTGGCACCTTACAGCTTGCAAAGTGCTTCCCCAGCCAGCCTGCATTATCCGGGTGGGCACTGCCTCTGAGGCAGGGCTCCCAACGTCAGCGCTTTCGTCAGTCTGACCAGGGTGATCCGTGTTGCACGGGGCTATCTTGCACAGTGCAGGACCTTAGCAGCATCCCTGGCCTATACTTCCGAGATGCCAGTGGCACTCTCTCAGTTGTGACAGTCAAAAACGTCTCCAAACATTTCCAAATGTCCCCTGGGGGTCAAATTCATCCCCCTTGAGAACCACCACCATAATGCCCATCCTGGTTTTCCAGACAAAGAAACTGAGGTGCTAGTGGCTGGCCCACAGATACGTGCAGCCCAGGCTGTCCTCCAGGGCCAGTGCCCCGAGGTCTGCCTCGGGCTGCCGCAGAGGTTCTGGGCGAGCTTCCCCAGGGAAGCAGTGACTCAGCCCGTTTGAACAGGCTGTGGCCACACACGCACGTGAAGTATGGGGTCTGTCTCATCCCTCCACTGGATGCCTACTCTGGGTTTCTGCACCAGGCTCTGCCCTCTTTTCTTTGCCTCAATGCCCCTTTCGCTCCTTGCCTGAGTAGCTACTTACAGGACCTTGGAGAGACCCTGGGAGACCACAAGGGTCCTGGCTCCCTATAGAGCCCAAGAAGCCTCTCCTCCCTTCCCTAAGGGATCACGAGATCACTGCCCATGTGGAACCCACCAGAGTTCACCACTCCCGGAACCTGCCAAGGGGGCCAGTCAACCCTCCAGCCCCTGACGGTGGCATTGACCCTCTGCTCCCCCCTCCGCCAGCCTGGTCTGCCTCCGCGCCTTGTTTTCCTCCTGCCGTTCTTGGTCTGTCCTTCGCCAGCTCCGTGTGCCATCGCCTTGACCATCTCCACTTTATTTGTGTCCTCAGACAGATGTTCCACCCATCTGTGCTGTCCGGCCGTCTCTCTTCCGCCCGGGCTCCCCAGAGCCCCTGTGGACTGTGCTTGTGGGGCGCTGCCCCCCGTGCATTCACCAACCTGTCCGTCCGCCTCCTTCACATGGCTTCCTCGTCCGCCGCCGCCACCACCGCCGCCTCCACTGCCTCCGTGGTCCCCCATTCTGTCTGAGTCCCCATCCTGATTGTCTTCCCTCTTTCAGGTCACCCATGGGCCTGTGTAAGTGCCTCTCCCAGACTCCTCTGCCCCCGGTAGAACAGGGCAGAGGTGGCCGTCGGGCGTTCTGGGAGCTAAGACCTTTATGCAAATAGGTCTGGCCTCACAGAGACTAGGGGAAGCCATGCAGAGGAAGGAGGGAGGAAGGGAGCCTGGGGCAAGCTCCTCCTGCACTTTCTCCTGGGGCCTAAGGTGTCACATAAAGTGATGTTGCATGAACATGGGGGTCTGTTTCACCAGGCAGAGGACAATGGGCAGAAGAAAGGAGGTGGCAGAGGGCTGGCGTAGCTGGTGACCCACCCAAACAAGGAGCCCTGCGATGGACCTCATCATGTGGGTCCTCGGCCCCATTCATACATCCTGAGAATCTTTTTCAGCCTATCATTAAATTATCGAGTCTTGAGCCAGCCCCCAGGCTGGAGAATGTTTTTCCCAGCCAAGACTTCACCCCCAAATCCTGCGTCGCATCTTCACAGCCACTCTCTTAAATATCCCCTGGCCCACCTACAGCCCTTGCCATGT